CAGAGAGGTAGAGGGTGCCCTTTGTTCAGAGGCGCTCACAGGCGGGGAAACACATGGGCTCACACACACACCAGGGCACCACACACACACACCAGGCACCCCTCCACACACACACCAGGCACCCCCCCACACACACAGGCACACACACACCAGGCACCACACACACACACAGGCACACACACACACACACCAGGTACCACACACACACACACATACCAGGTACCCCACACACACACCAGGCACCACACACACACACAGGCACACACACGCACACACCAGGTACCACACACACACACACACCAGGTACCACACACACACCAGGCACCACACACACACACACACCAGGTACCACACACACGCGCGCACACACACGCACACACCAGGTACCATGCTGAGGCGCTTTGTAATTCCCAGTCTGTGTCAGTTGGGGGTGGGCTCCTGTTGGGCCTGCAGGTCCCGCCTCGCCGGGTGAAGACTCTCCCCGACACACACAGACATGCACACAGAAGTGAGTGCACACACAGGCGTGCAGAGATCACAGACCCACAGGCACGATGCATGCATGCACACAGACACACAAACACACAGACACGCACACATATATAGACATGCACACCCATAGATACACACGTGTGTACACATGTGTAGACACAGAGACATTCATGCAGAGACACGCGATTACATATGTGCACATACACACATGAATTTACAAGCACACAGATGTGTGCAGAGATCCACAGGCAGACACTTGTCCCTTCAGGTTGAAGCCCCAAGCAAATTGACATCCCGGGTCTTGTTCTCCAAAATGTCCCCAGTGCCAAGCACGGGACCCGCTGCGGTAGTTTATTGAGTCAGTGAATGAACGGATGGCTCCAATCCCATCGTGACTTGGCACCGAGACCAGTGGGGTTTGGAGGCGGGGATCAGGACTCAGCCCTCTGCTTTGCTGGGGACCACAGAATACCTTTAGAACACTGAGAGAAGGACAGCTGCAGGTACAGCTTGTTCTAGCGAATCACCAGCCTGGACTTGAGGCCTCAGGACTCCTCATACAGTGCTCCTTTCCACCACCCAGAGACTGCCGGCCGCTGGAATAAGCACTTGCCATCTGGGGGAGGCACTGCCTTGGGTTCCACAAGTTTCCTATGTGTCTGAGATGAACCTGCTGGAGCAGGAAACGGACAGCTGGCCAGCCCCAGACATCCTCTTTCTCACACCCACCCCACCGGGAGAGCCCAGCTGCTGGCCTTCAGCTGACACTGGGAGGACCTGGGGTTAACTTTGCTGAGGGACGTACCGGGTTCCCTGGCTGGGCTCCGTGGTCACTGGTTGGCTGGACGCTAATCTGGCCGGGTCTCATTTTCTGTAGCCTTTGCGTTTTTTGGGTTGGGTAAACTGTGATGCTGAGGCCCCAGGAACCGCCACGGGGCACAGCGCGGCCTGGAGTCTGTCCCCAGAGATGGGGTCTTACTGGGAGCTTTTCCTGCAGCTTTGTGAAACTAGGCAGGCCACATCTGCACCCTGGGAGGCCAGCTGGCTCAACCCCGGCCCAGCTTCCCCAAGGATATGGTCCTGCCTGAGTGCTCACCTACCACGCAGGGGCTCGTGACAAGGCGAGCCCCGGGCCACCCCCTGAGGGTGGGCCTAAGCTGCACATGTCTAGCCAGCTCTCAGGAGGCCGCCGCATGTGCTGGGTCACACCTGAGGAACCAGGGGCTGGCGGGGGGATGGGCGGCAGCTGATCCCAGTGCTGTGACATCAGGGTGTGGGCTTCAGGAGACTCTGGGGGGGGGCTGCAGAGTGGGGACAGGCAGGGGCTTCTCAGCCTCGGCACTGTTGGCGTTTGGGCCGGAACCCCTTTGTGGTGAGGGCCATCCTGTGCCCCCAACTGTGAAAACCAAAAATGTCTGCAGGCGTTGCCATTTGTCCGCTGGGGGGCACGGTTACCTCCTAGTTGAGAGTCACTGGGTTAAGGGACACTGCCACAAAACAGAGGACAGGGCCTGGCGCGGTGGCTCACACCTGCAGTCCCAGCACTTTGGGAGGCTGAGGCGGGCCAGGAGACCAGCCTGGCCAACGTGGTGGAACCTCATCTCTACCACTAATACGAAAGTTATCTGAGCGCGGTGGTTTGGGCCTGTAATCCCAGCTACTCGAGAGGCTGAAATCACTTGAACCTGGGAGGCAAAAGTTGCCGTGAGCCAAGATCTCGCCGCCGCACTCCAGGCTGGGTGTCAGAGTGAGACTCAGTCTCAAAACAAAACAAAATAAAACAGAGGACATTTGAACTGGGTCTTGAGGGGTGTGTAGGAGTTTTCCAGGAAAGGCTCTTGTGATAGAGAGAAGGACCAGAAAAAGGCACCAGGACTGACGGCAGTGGGCTCCCCCCTGGCCTCCCTGCCTCCCCTCTAACCCCGACAATGCTTTCTCCTGGCAGCAGCCAGAGGGACCATTTTAGAACATCCCAGAGCCCAGGCCAGGTGCAGTGGCTCACACCTGTAATCCCAGCACTTTGGAGACCAAGGCAGGTGGATCACGAGGTCAGGAGATTGAGACCATCCTGGCCAACATGGTGAAACTCTGTCTCTACTAAAAATACAAAAATTAGCTGGGTATGGTGATGGACACCTGTAATCCCAGCTACTCAGGAGGCTGAGGCAGGAGAATCGCTTGAACATGGAGGTGGAGGCTGCAGTGAGCCGAGATTGCACCACTGAACTCCAGACTGGCAACAGAGACTCCGTCTCGGAAAAAAAAAAAAAAAAAAAAAATCCCAGAGCCCATTTGCTTCCCTCACCAAAACCCCCAGCTTCCTGTGCTACTTGGAATAAAATCCCAACTCTAAAGGCCTTGCATGCTCTGGCCTCTAGTGGCCTTCCCCAGCTTTGTCTCCACCGCCACGTGGGCCCCGCTGCAGCGCCACTGGCCACTTGCTGGTCTTCACACAGCCAGATCTGCTTGTGCCCCAGGGCCTTTGCACCTGCTGTTGTGGGTGGCCTGGAGAGCCTTCCGCTGAGTCTTCCCGGAACTTACTCCTGCCTTTGTTTCGGGCCTGAGCTCAGGTATCACCTCCCCAGAGAGGCCTTTGCTGACCCTGTCTCCTTACATAGCCGTTCTGCTGCTTCTGTCACTGGCTTTGATTCCATTGTGGGGTCCCCCGTCGCTGCAACACTGTTCCTTGTTTACCATCCTGGTCCCGTCTCAGCATCTGCCCACGCGGGAAGACTTCCACCCTGTTTCCTGCTGCGTCCTGGCCCAGAGCTGGGTGTCCATCAGGTGGTGGACAAATGTTTGTTGAATGAATGAATGAAGGGACAGAGTGAAGGGAGCCTAGGCAGGCTGGAGGGATGATGTGTTGGGAAGCATGGGGTATACTGAGGCTGGGAGGTGCACAGCATCTAGGGTCTGGCCAAGGGGTCATTGGGATTTCTTGGCAGGAGGTGGGTGTGACGTCACTGCTGTTAGGTTTCGTGCCTGCTGCTGCAGACCCAGAGGGCACCCACGTGGCGTTGTGGGCCAGACGCCCCAGGCCAGGCGCCCCGTCAGGTGGAGAGGGAGGCAGTCCCTGGCCCCGTGCTCGGCAGTGGCCGCCCCAGGAGCTCCCATATTAGTGGCTGCAGTAACGTGTTGCCACGGTGCTTTCATTTAAAACACGGGAATGCATTCTCTCACAGTTCCGGAGGCCGGGAGTCTGACTTCAAGGTGTTGGTGGGGTCGATTCCTCCTGGAGGCCCCTGGAGGAAATCTGTCCTTGCCCCTTTCGAGCCCTGGTGGCTGCTGGTGACCCATGGTGTCCTGAGGCTTGTGGCTGCATCACCCACCCTCTGACTCCGTCCGCCCATGGCGTCCTCCCTGTGAGCTCTGTGTCTTCTCTTCTTACATGGACACCGGCCATTAGATCAGGGTGTGGTCTCATCTGAGATCTCGGATTGATGACATCCGTGAAGATCCTCCTTCCAGTAAGGTCCTAGCCTGAGGTTCCAGGTGGACCTGAATGTGTGGGGGACACTAGCCAGCCCAGTGAAGCTCCCATTTCCGGCTGTCCGCTCCATGAGGGGCTGACCCCGGCACACCGTGCCCGCCAGGCCCTGACCACCCACTCCAGGCCCGCCTCGCCTGCCTCTCTCTTAGGCCCCTGCACCGAGAGGCAGTGCAGCGCAGTGCATGGCCCAGAGCCTGGCCCGGCTCCCGCTGGCTGACCTCGGGCCAGTGTCTTCACTTCTCTGTGGCCACTTCTCCACCTGAGCTCTGGTGAGGAAATGAATGGAAAGTGCTTCCACCAGGCCCGTGGTAATGTGTAGATAAGCATTAACTGTTATTATTGTAAGTAGAAACTTTATTATTACAAAAAGTAAAGACTCAGGGAAACATAGGTGACAGATGCTTCCCGCTGTTCCCGTGATGTGTGCCGAGGGCAGCGGGGAACCGAGGCATGGCACCAGGAGGTGTGACGCTGCATCTCACCACCACCCACCTGCCTTCCCTGCTGGGAGTCCTTGCACCTAACGTTTGGATGCATGGGAGGGGCCTAATGTTTGGATGATGGAGGGGCCTCGGAGTGGATGGGCCCCAGCTGGGAAGGTGCCAGTGCCCTCTGCCCGGATGCCCCAGCCTCTCAGAGCTTCACCTCCTGGCTCTGCTGCAGGCTGAGATTGTGCCCACTCTTGGTGACCTGTGGTGACCGCAGAGCACACCTGCAGAAGCCCCGGGCTGGCCTGCATGAGAGCTTCTGTGATGAAGGGGGCCCCAGATGGGGGTTGGCATGTTCTGGAAGGCGGAAGCTGGTGGGGGGGGTGCTATTTTTTTTTTTTTTTTGAGACAGTCTTGCTCTGTCACCAGGCTGGAGTGCAGTGGCACAATCTCAGCTCATTGCACCTCTGCCTCCCAGGTTCAAGTGATTCTCCTGCCTCAGCCTCCTGAGTAGCTGGGATTACAGGCACGCGCCACCTCGCCCAGCTAATTTTTGTATTTTTAGTAGAGATGGGGTTTCGCCATGTTGGACAGGATGGTCTCCATCTCTTGACCTCGTGATCCGCCTGCCTCAGCCTCCCAAAGTGTTGAGATGACAGGCGTGAGCCACCGTGCCCAGCCTGGGGTTGCTTTCTAGGCAGCCTGAAGGGCATAAGCAAAGGTGACCAGGGGACAGAGTCTCGAAAGGCCGTGAGGGGCCGTGTCCAGGGAGGTGAGAGAGATGGCAGGAAGGACGCAGGAGGCCGCTGGCATAGAGAGCTGTCAAGTCTGGTTTAGTTGGAGAGGTGACATGGGACAGCCTGGGGAACCCTGAACAGGGGCTTCTTGGGTGTTCCGTTTCCTGCGTTATAGTCCAGAGGGCAAAGGTCATGGCCTGCCAGCTTGGCCGTGCCCCAGTAGCTGGTTGCAGCCATCCCCAGGACCTCTGCCGGCCAGTTGGGGTAAATCCTCCAGCCCTCCACACACTGGTGCACACATGCATATGTACGCACACGCTACAGCCAGGCTCCATGTGGCTAGAAAAGCTGCCTCCTGTGACCGACCGGCAGGGTAGGAGCCAGCACCTGGCACAGGCCTGACCTCTCGTGCCAGCTCTGTGCTGGGTCCCGGCCCCAACTTGCCCTTCGCCACCCCCTCCTGCCTCCAAGTGAGTGTTTCCAGCGTGGGAGCAGAAGCTGGGCATTGCTGACCCTGCGGTGTCCCTCCCGTGCCCCCTTCGGCGGCGCTGGCTGTGCCTCCCCCACCTCCTGCCTCCAAGTGAGTGTTTCCAGCGTGGGAGCAGCAGCTGGGCATCGCTGACCATTGTCACAGGAGGCCCAGGTGTGCCGCCAGCTCCGCAGCAGGTGAGGCTTTTCATGCCTTGGGTTTCCCACCGCACTCAGGCAGGGGAGCGGGGCTGTCTCTTGTGCACGCCTTGCCCTTGATCTTCCCTGGTTGTATCTTCCTTCCAGCCTGAATTGCTGGTGGCACCCCACAGGGCCCCCGTGTTCTGAGCTGCCTGGCACTGGGCATTGTGGTGCCGTGCACCTGAACCCCCCCATGGGGTCCCTTGCTGCTTGTTCTCCCCTCTCAGCAGCAGCTGCCACATGGGGTAGGGTCTGACACCAGGTGTGGCCGCCACTGGGGCTAGCACAGGGCAGGGGCCGGCGTGCTGCTCACCGTTCAGGCGACCCCCCTCCGCAAAGGAAACAGGCCCTGGGCATGGCAGGGAGAGGCCCAGGAGAGATGGGCTGGACCGCCTGAGTGTGCTCGCTGGCGGCCGTGCACGGCAAGGCTGGGGGCAGCCGGTCCCCAGGCCCCTCACAGGTGCAGGCCCAGATTCTGTTGAGCTAAGCTTTGCGTGGCGGGCGGCTGGCAGCGAGCTGCTGAGCCTTCCGAAGGTAGCAGCCATCTGCACTGCGATGAAAAGCCCCGAGGATGATAAACAGACAAGCCGCGCTTTATTGGATTGCAGTCTGGGAGCAGCCACTTCGGGTTTGGCACGGTGTTAACGACAGATTTCTGCTTCTCTTGCAAGGCCTGGCCTCTCGGGGAGCACGCCAGCAGCAGCAGCCCTCCCCTGGCGCGAGAGAGCTCCCCACGGACGCCCCGGTGGGTGGCCGGCCTGCTCCCATTGGCCCCTGCGGCCATGCTGCACTTGTGGGATTTCTGCTGGGGCCCCCCCTTGCAGCTTGATGGGGTCAGGCTGATGACTTCACATCCCTGTACCGACACCTGGTCGCTGTGTGTCTTCAGGCAGGTGTCCTAACCTCTCTGTGCTGCCAGTACCCGGTCTGTGAAATGGGCAAATAATGGCATTTACCTAACAGGCTTGGGAGGTTCCATGGGTAATGGCTGTGTGTGTCGCATTTGGAAGGGTGCCTGGGTGCACACAGTGAGCGTTCTGTAAATGTTAGCTGCTGCTGTGAGCGCCATCAGCAGCCTGACTGGTAGTAGTATTGCTTCCAGAGAGCCCCGCTGGCCCTGGCGTCCCTGGGAGCTGTTTGGGGTCAGATCTGGGACGACAGGGCCTGTTCCCTGGAGGACCTGTATTTCCCAGGACAAGTTCCCTACTGGGTCCTCCACTCATTGGTTAGAGATGGGTGCTCTTGGACCAGATGGCCTGATTACCTCATGGTCTCTCTGCTGTGAGACCTTGGGCAGCGGCTGCAACACTCTGCCTCAGTTTCCCCATTTGTCAAGCAGGGATAGAAACAGAACTGAACCTCATGGTGCTGCTGAGAGGCCTACAGGAGATGATCTACTGTAAGCTCTTGGACTATAGCCTGGCATGTGGTAGGCATGGGCAGATGACCACCCCTGGCATTGCTGGTGGCAGTCCTGTTTGCCAAGAGCCCCGGGTGGGCCCGGCATTAGCTCTGGGTTCTGTGATGACTGGGCTTGTGTGGAAGGACAGCAGTAGGAGTTGGGAGCAGAGGGTGGCCCGGGGCAGGGCTGGGCCCCTGCAGGGTACAGGGGGCTTGGTAAATGCCATCGAGTGGGTTCCCTGCCTGTGTGGCGGGGAGACCTACCGTGTACTGGAGCTCAGCCCTGGGAAACGGAGGTGCCAGGGAAGAGCAGGCATGGGAGGCAGTAGCCCGCATCCTGTTCCACGGCCTCCTAGGCATATTGGCAGGTTGGCGCCTCTGTCTCAGGCTCAGTTTCCTCATTGGTGCTCCCCAAGGTTCCTCCCAGGGCCCTCCACCCCACTCCAGCTGTCCCCATCTGGCCTTCTTTTCCCTCTGCTTGGACACACCCTTCTCCTGCAGTCTGTGCCCACTCCCCCACCGTCTTCAGCCCGACTCCTCCGAGCCCTCCAGCACACTGTCAGGTGCCCAACGCGCCACACACACCCCCTGCACTGAGCCTCTTTGTTGAGCCAGGACACAAAGCAGCCTGCCCAGGGCAGTGACCCTGCTTGGGCCTCTCGAGTCAGGCGCTCTGCCCTGCTGCTTCCTGGGCCTCCATGCCATGGGCCCTCCCAGCAACCAGGGCTACACCAGGCTGCCTTGCCTGCTCTGCAGGGAAGAAGGCACCAGTTAGGTGCATGCACACCCCCAGCCCTCCGTGGTCTGGGCCCTGTTTCCCCACAAGGATTCTTTCTTGGGTCACTGTCTGTTCTGGCCACTCTGAGGTCCCATTAGCCCTGAGAAGCCACCAGAAGAAGGCTCATATAAGCGTGTAGTGGCCAGGAGCTGGGGCTCACAGTTCAAGTTCCAGCTCCACTATTTGACCTTGGACAGATGACCTCTCTGGACTGTGACCTTCTCATCTGAAAAACGGGGCAGCCAAAGGAACCAGCAGCAGTGCCGTGCCATGAGGATGAGGACGCTGGTTGGCTGCGGAGGTGGCTCACGCAGGTGCACAACACACACCAGCTGTCACCAGCTGTCGCCATCATGGGCCAGGCGCCTGTTCCATGCCTGTTTCCTCATTTCACCCTCACGGCAACCCTGTGGGGTGTCACATCTTCCCACTCACCAGATGAGGCCACCGAGGCTCTGTGGGGCTCTGGGCTTACAGGATCACGCAGGTATGCAGCAGTAGAGACTGAGAAGAAATGAAAGGCTGTCAGTGAGCTGCTGAGCCTTCCAAAGGTAGCAGCCATCTGCACCTTTAGGCGTGAGGTCAGAGCCTGAGATGCCTTCCAGGCGCAGCTTGGAGGCCATCTGGCTCAGTCTCCAGGCTCATCAGCAAAGGTCCAGAGAGCTCAAGTGATTTTCCCAGAGTCACACAGCTTCTCACGGCCAGCTCCTCCTGCTACCTCAGGGCCTGCTGTGGCTTAGTGCAGGGAACAGTAGTGCAAATCTTAATGTCAGGGGAAGAAGCAGAGCTGAGAAGAAAGCGCCTGGCGGCCAGCGAGGGCTCATCAGCCCTAGGCCTCCTCCCAGTAGTGCACCCGGCTCTGGGCTCCTCTGCCTGCCCTGCCCGCATCCCCTTCTCTGGAAAAGGATGTGCAGACATGAAGGGCCAGCTGACAATGACCCCAGACAGCATGGCAGCCTCACCTTGTGTTCCAGCTGCCCGGGAGCTCTGGAAACATACTTGGGCCAAAGATTAGGGATTCTGAGGAACAGTCGGGCTTCGGGACCTTTCTGGAAGCTCTCAGATGATTCTGCTGTACAGCCAAAGTGGAGGACCCCTGGGGTGCCGGACCCTGTGCTCTTTGAGTGATGACCAAATATTGAACAGTGGTGTTTCAAAAGCAGAGAGAGCAGAGAGAGTGAGGAGGGGAGAGAGCACTTACTGAGCACCTACTGTGTACCTGGACATGCTCCAGTCACCTGCCATGCTCTTGTTAGCCCTGTGTGGTGCACATGAGACAGAGAGCTGAGGTGGGACCCCAGGGGGAAGACGTGCTCCTCACCTTCTGGCCCCTTCTAACGCGAGCAGAGCCGACCCAGACCTGTGGCCATTTCCTCTCCCTCCTGCACACTTATCTGGCGTCTCTTCCTCCCTCCATCTGCCAAGTTAATGCAAACTGGCAGGAGCGATGGCGGGGGGGCTCCGGGGGCACAGCTGGCAGCCCGCCCCACGCCGCCCACGTCCCCGGCCCTGCAACCCTGGGCAGGAAACCACCAACGTGTTTATGAAAGAGGCAGGCGGCAGCTGCTGCTAACAGGTGAGCCCTTCCGGAGCCCAGCCTCTCCCAGGGCCTCCTGGAGAAATCGGTAATGAAGTGCAGCTGTGAACTCCGGGTTTGGGTCAGAAAGGCAATTTCTCATCTCTCCTCGCAGCAATTGAGTTGAAAATCCAGGAGCTGTTTGCCTCTCCCCACGCCTCCACCCCCTCGGCCCTCACTCGCCTGAGCGGGAGGCCTCTCAGGCGTCAATATTGACTCTGTGAAAGGCAGGTGGCCGGGCACAGGAGGGAACCGGGCTGGAAACTGGGCCGGGAGCAGCCCCTGGGGCCAGTGAGGTGGGAGCAGGGAGCAGCTGGCCGGGGCGCCCTGGGAGAAGGAAGGCTGTTTTTCCTCTTGTTTTAATTGGTCTTTGTGACTCTAATGGTGCCCGATTCACCTAGGGGCAGCATATTGGCGCGGGTCTTCACCGTGCACCACATCTGAGCTGTTCAAGAGTCACCAGGCAGCTGTTCCTGGCCTAACTGACTTTTCTGGATGGTTCTGGGCCTGGAAGGGCTCAGAAAAGCAAAGCCAAGGGGTGGCTGGGAAACCTCAGGGCTGAGGCAGCACAGGGGCACGGGAGAACAGAGCCCGGCTCCCATATCCAGCTGCGGTCATGGCCCGGCCTGGCCACCTTTGGCCACAGGGTCACCTGAGAATCCAATTTCCATAAGGCCCAGATGAGGTGAGCGACGCTTGCCAAGTGAGATTGATTGGAAATCGCAGTGGGAGGCGGCTCCCGCCCTCTCTCCCGGAATGGACACTTATGAAGCCCAAATGCCTCTTTCTCAGCCCAGCTGAGATATGTTCAGGAAACACTGGTAGCCTTTGAGGAGGGGGCCAGGTGTAGCGGTTGTGAGCTGGGAGCTCTGGGGCCAGCGTGCCTGGGGTTTGGATTGCTGCTGTGTGACTTTGGAGAGGTCGCTTGACTTCTCTGATCCTGTCGCCTGCAAATATAAGGGTTGCTTTTAAAGATCCACCTTGTGAATCTGATCATGACAATGGTGCCGGCAATAATAAGCGTTTCCCCGGTGGGGACAGAACAGAAAGTGTGCTGTGCTACCTCTGCCCACCGCTCCCCTTCTGGCCACACTGTGCCCATGAGGGCTCCCAGCTTGGCCCAGAAGGAAGGGCCTGGTCTCAGCCCCAGTGGCCTTCTCCCTCTAGCCCCTTGGTGTAGAATCGGAACTGCACAGCTGCACCCAGCCACCCCATTACCATGGTGAGGACTTTGTGGCCAGTTCTATTTTAGGTACCTTCCATATTTTTTCAAAGCCAGGTTTGTCTGGGCATGGTGGCTCAGGCCGTGCACCGATCGCTTGAACCCAGGAGGTGGAGGTTGCCGTGAGCCGGGATCGCATCACTGCACTCCAGCCTGGTGACGAGAAAAACTCCATCTCAAAAAAAAAAAAAACGTGGGTTTATTCAGATACAGCTTATACACAAGATCATTCACGCTTTTTGAGTGTATCATTTGGTGAATTCTCACAAACATATACAGTAGCAAAACTACAGCTCGGTTTACAAAATTCTGTGTCCAACCCCAGAAAACCCCACTGTGTCCTTTCGCCATCCTTCCCCACCTCCAGCCCCTGCAGCCATGGGTCTGTTTTCTGACTCTGTTGTGTCACCTTTGCTAGGATGTCATGTAGGTGGAGGCGTTCAGTACAAAGACTCCTGTGCATAGTGTGCCAGGGTTCAGACCCATCCAAGTTGGTGTGTGCACTGGTGGTTAGTGTGTGCTGTGGTGGCTGGTGTGTGCGCTGATGGTGGTCGGTGTGTGCGCTGATGGTGGTCGGTGTGTGCTGATGGTGGTCGGTGTGCGCGCTGATGGTGGTCGGTGTGTGCCCTGGTGGTTGGTGTGTGCTGATGGTGGTCGGTGTGCGCTGATGGTGGTCGGTGTGTGCGCTGATGGTGGTCGGTGTGCGCGCTGATGGTGGTCGGTGTGTGCGCTGATGGTGGTCGGTGTGTGCTGATGGTGGTCGGTGTGTGCTGATGGTGGTCGGTGTGTGCTGTGGTGGCTGGTGTGTGCACTGATGGTGATTGGTGTGTGCCCTGGTGGTTGGTGTGTGCTGATGGTGGTGTGCGCTGATGGTGGTTGGTGTGCGCTGATGGTGGTTGGTGTGTGCTGATGGTGGTGTGTGCGCTGATGGTGGTCGGTGTGTGCGCTGATGGTGGTGTGTGCGCTGATGGTGGTGTGTGCGCTGATGGTGGTGTGTGCGCTGATGGTGGTCGGTGTGCGCTGATGGTGGTGTGTGCGCTGATGGTGGTCGGTGTGCGCCGATGGTGGTCGGTGTGCACCGATGGTGGTGTGTGCGCTGATGGTGGTCGGTGTGTGCGCTGATGGTGGTCGGTGTGCGCTGGTGGTCGGTGTGTGCTGATGGTGGTCGGTGTGTGCTGATGGTGGTTGGTGTGTGTGCTGATGGTGGTTGGTGTGTGCTGATGGTGGTTGCTGATGGTGGTCGGTGTGTGCTGATGGTGGTCGGTGTGTGCTGATGGTGGTCGGTGTGTGCTGATGGTGGTCGGTGTGTGCGCTGATGGTGGTGTGTGCGCTGATGGTGGTGTGTGCGCTGATGGTGGTCGGTGTGCGCTGATGGTGGTCGGTGTGTGCGCTGATGGTGGTCGGTGTGTGCGCTGATGGTGGTCGGTGTGCGCTGATGGTCGGTGTGTGCGCTGATGGTCGGTGTGTGCGCTGATGGTGGTCGGTGTGCGCTGGTGGTCGGTGTGTGCTGATGGTGGTCGGTGTGTGCTGATGGTGGTCGGTGTGTGTGCTGATGGTGGTCGGTGTGTGCTGATGGTGGTTGGTGTGTGCTGATGGTGGTTGCTGATGGTGGTCGGTGTGTGCTGATGGTGGTCGGTGTGTGCTGATGGTGGTCGGTGTGTGCTGATGGTGGTTGCTGATGGTGGTCGGTGTGTGCTGATGGTGGTCGGTGTGTGCTGATGGTGGTCGGTGTGTGATGATGGTGGTTGCTGATGGTGGTCGGTGTGTGCTGATGGTGGTCGGTGTGTGCTGATGGTGGTTGGTGTGTGCTGATGGTGGTTGCTGATGGTGGTTGGTGTATACTGATGGTGGTTGGTGTATACTGATGGTGGTTGGTGTGTGCTGATGGTGGTTGGTGTGTGCTGATGGTGGTTGGTGTGTGCTGATGGTGGTTGCTGATGGTGGTTGGTGTATACTGATGGTGGTTGGTGTGTGCTGATGGTGGTTGGTGTGTGCTGATGGTGGTTGCTGATGGTGGTCGGTGTATACTGATGGTGGTCGGTGTGTGCTGATGGTGGTTGGTGTGTGCTGATGGTGGTTGCTGATGGTGGTCGGTGTATACTGATGGTGGTCGGTGTGTGCTGATGGTGGTCGGTGTGTGCTGATGGTGGTTGGTGTGTGCTGATGGTGGTTGCTGATGGTGGTCGGTGTGTGCTGATGGTGGTCGGTGTGTGCTGATGGTGGTTGGTGTGTGCTGATGGTGGTTGCTGATGGTGGTTGGTGTGTGTGCTGATGGTAGTTGGTGTGTGTGCTGATGGTGGTTGGTGTGTACTGATGGTGGTGCTGATGGTGGGTGGTGTGTGTGCTGATGGTGGTCGGTGTGTGTGCTGATGGTAGTTGGTGTGTGCTGATGGTGGTTGGTGTGTACTGATGGTGGTTGCTGATGGTGGTTGGTGTGTGTGCTGATGGTAGTTGGTGTGTGTGCTGATGGTGGTTGGTGTGTACTGATGGTGGTTGCTGATGGTGGGTGGTGTGTGTGCTGATGGTGGTCGGTGTGTGTGCTGATGGTAGTTGGTGTGTGCTGATGGTGGTTGGTGTGTGCTGATGGTGGTCGGTGTGTGTGCTGATGGTAGTTGGTGTGTGCTGATGGTTGGTGTATACTGATGGTGGTTGGTGTATACTGATGGTGGTTGGTGATGGTGGTTGGTGTATACTGATGGTGGTTGGTGTATACTGATGGTGGTTGGTGTGTACTGATGGTGGTTTGCTGATGGTGGTTGGTGTGTGCTGATGGTGGTTGGTGTCTGCTGATGGCGGTCGGTGTGTGTGCTGATGGTGGTTGGTGTGTGTGCTGATGGTTGGTGTGTACTGATGGTGGTTGCTGATGGTGGTTGGTGTGTGCTGATGGTGGTTGGTGTCTGCTGATGGCGGTCGGTGTGTGTGCTGATGGTGGTTGGTGTGTGTGCTGATGGTGATTGCTGTGTGCTGATGGTCGTTGCTGATGGTGGTTGGTGTGTGTGCTGATGGTGGTTGGTGTGCGCTGATGGTTGGTGATGGTGGTTGGTGTATACTGATGGTGGTTGGTGTGCGCTGATGGTGGTTGGTGTGCGCTGATGGTGGTTGGTGTATACTGATGGTGGTTGGTGTATACTGATGGTGGTTGGTGTGCGCTGATGGTGGTTGGTGTATACTGATGGTGGTTGGTGTATACTGATGGTGGTTGGTGTGCGCTGATGGTGGTTGGTGTATACTGATGGTGGTTGGTGTGCGCTGATGGTGGTTGGTGTATACTGATGGTGGTTGGTGTCTGCTGATGGTGGTTGGTGTGCGCTGATGGTGGTTGGTGTATACTGATGGTGGTTGGTGTATACTGATGGTGGTTGGTGTGCGCTGATGGTGGTTGGTGTGCGCTGATGGTGGTTGGTGTATACTGATGGTGGTTGGTGTATACTGATGGTGGTTGGTGTGTGCTGATGGTGGTTGGTGTGCGCTGATGGTGGTTGGTGTCTACTGATGGTGGTTGGTGTATACTGATGGTGGTTGGTGTATACTGATGGTGGTTGGTGTGCGCTGATGGTGGTTGGTGTCTGCTGATGGTGGTTGGTGTATACTGATGGTGGTTGGTGTGTGCTGATGGTGGTGATTGGTGTGTGCTGATGGTGGTTGATTCCTTCCTGTTGCAGAAGGGCACTCTTGTGTGGATGCACCACAAATGGTTTTCCCGTTGGGCACACTGGAGCCCACAGTCACATTGCCAGGCTCCTCGTAACAGGCCACCCAAGAGGCCCGACTGTGCCTGCCCCCTCACTGAGCTTCTGGTTCCGGGACACCATGTGCTGTAAGCTAGAAGCGTCCCCACCCAAGGCCCATGTCTCGGTGTCAGGTTAGACCATGGCTGAAGATGCATCTTTGTCCCTGCCAGAGAGACCCGTGTCCGGCGTGAATAATTGCATTTTAATGAAACGATGGGAGTGCTGAAGCCGTTTGCCACCCCGGCCTGCACCAGGGCCTGCAATTAAGCCGATTGTGTTTTGAGAGTCCAGCTGTCTGACTCCTCGCGTCCCTAATGAGACGATGCTTGATGGCCCTGCCAGTGCACTTATT